AGCAACTCAGTGAGACCCTGGCTCTAAATAAAATACAAAATAGGGCTGGGGATGTGGCTCAGTGGTCGAGTACCCCCAAGTTCAATCCCTGGAACAAAAAAAAAAAGAGGAATTTATGCAGTTTTGATTTTCCCTGCTTCACTTTATCTTGTTGCTACTGTGCTTTGGGTTCTTCATCCTCTATGAAGAGCAGTTGTCTTCATCAACTATTCCCAAGATGCTCGACCTTAATAGGATCTTTTCTTCTTAGGGGCACTTATAACCAGCAAAAGTTTTATTCTGTTATATTTTTGATGCATTCTTCTCAGTATTGTTACCATTCAGCCATTTAGACATATAGAAGAGCCACTTACAGATCATGCCTTTAAGAATTACAATCCTAATTAAATTTTTTCTAGGATATTCCATTTGAATAACCCAATGCTCTGTTTCTTTAAAGAATTTGAGAATAGTCAACATTAGACAATTTTCTCTATGCAGAAAAGTAACTGTCACCATACCTGCCAAACTGTGAATGTCCAGAGTCTCAAAGGTCTCCCTTACCTCCTTTTTGTCAATAATTATTTTTGACATGTCTTAATTCTTACATCTTATATTTCTTACTCTCATTTTTTCTATATTTAGGACAGGAATTTACAGTGAGTCTCAGTGGTTATATGAGGGCAGGAATTTAAAATGAGACAAGATTCCCTAAAAGCACCAACATTTAACCATTAGTTTAACTTTTCAATTAATATACCTACTTATTGACACATAGCACTACATCTTTGTGGATGTATTGGTAAAAGCCACAATTGATTTTTAAACTCCTTTTCTGACCATTAACTAATTTTATTTTTGCTGCCTCTACCTTTTGTTCTTAAATCTCAACTGATCCACCAGGTTTCCTTTATCTCTATTTTACAGCAACATTAGATATGCATTGCTGGCTTCATTTTTCTTTGTCATAAAAATTGTGATTTATTGAACCATAATAACAGTGTCCTCTAAAACAGCTACTCCCCTGCCAATCCTCACCAATTTACATACTTTCCCATCTCATAAATTTGATTTCTAATTGCCTCATGTATATAATCAAATTCTAATTCATTAGAGTGCTATAGTCAAAATTGGAAGCATAAATTCTGACATATTTGTCATTTTTAAACCTAAAAATACTGTTATAGACATCCTCCAGAAAGTGTTCTTGATTCCTCAAATCTAAGAATTCACTCTGCACTGCCCTGGCACCATACATATTTCCTATTGTAGTAGATACCACACTTCATTGAATTGCATCTGTCTCCAATATTAGACTGTTAAGTGCCATGAGGGCAGGAAGCATGGTCTTGTTTTCATGAATCTCCAGTATAACAGCCATGGGCTTGCCTACATGAGATGCCGGATACATGATTGGTGATGCACTTATCACTTTGCATTTTCATTGAGACTATGGCATCCTTCCCATAAAACATTTCAGTAGCTATAACTATACAATATGTTACACTTTCAAGAGAAGTCACCTCCTTCCAGAGAAGTCACTTCCTTCTATAGACCTTGAAGTAAATTTCAACCCACAAAAGATAAAGGAAGTATATATTACTAAAACACAGAAGGATTGAGTAAAGACAGATTTAGGATAAGAAAAGATTGCTTTTCTAGAGTTTATTGTCTTGTATATAAGTTAGTTCAAACTCAAAACACATTAACACATTTTTCATAAGAATATATATACATATATTGAACCAGGGGATTGAACCCAGGGATGCTTGACCACTAAGCCATATTCCCAGCTCCTTTTATTTTGAGACAGGGCCTTGCTAAGTTGTTGAGGCTGTCTTTGAACTTGGAATCTTCCTGCCTCAGCCTCCCAAACTGCTGGGATTACAGGCGTGCTTTACCACACCTGGCTGAGAATAGCTTTTTCTTATTAAGCTTACATGTGCCAGGTCCTGTGCTAGGTATTTTTGCACCTTCTCATTTCATTCTTCTAACAAATCCATAAACTACATGGCACCATTTTCTACCAGCAAGTGAGTGCAGATCAAGAAAAGTTAGTAATTTGTTGGAATTTATCCAGCCAGGAATGTTTAGGAGATTAGTTTTGTTTCACTTTATTTTGTAGGAAATTGTTTTGAATCCAGACTTGTATGACTACAAAGCCATTTCTATTTCCATTATGCAAAGCAATCATATTATAATTCCAATAACTATGAAAATGCATAAAGACAATGAAAATGAATAAAAATGCATTTAAACATTCTTAACTGCTCCTATTTGACTATTATACCTCCAAAAATTATACTGAACTATTATTAGAGGCAAAAGCACTTAGACTAGCACAATATAGTAAAATAGCTCTAAAGTCATCAAAATAATAACTTACTAATAAAGTTTTTACTCTAACTAGAGAGATGATCTTATGAGCTACCTGAATCCACCTATGCCATTAGTTTTGTGATATGTAAACACAGGATAACACTGTGTCCTTCTCTGTAGTTGAATTTACCATGCATGCCTGTTTACAGCACCATGACCAGATGTCAAAAAAAAAAAGAAAAAGAACTTCAACTTTGCCACCCTCTATTATCCTGATATCAGTTCAGCAAAAAGCAAACCACCATCAAAATAAAAATTAAAACAATTTTAACTTTTCAACCATCTCCTGAATTCTTAAGGATTTGTTAACATGCTTAAGTTCTCTCTTCACTCTTTTCAAAGTTTAAAGACAAAGCTTCTAAATCTCCCTTGGGATATTATTCATTTCAATAACCAGATATAAAAGATTTTTTATGGTGCATCTCCTCACTACCTACTTCTCCAGTCTCATTTCTCACTATCCATATTTATCTTCTCTAGGTTCCATACTCCAGTGCCATGGTTTCTTATCAGCTAGGTGTATTTTTAATCTTATCACTGTCTGTATTCTCCAACTGGTAAACTCTATTCATTTTCAAATACTTAGCTCAGGCATCACCTCTTCTGGAAAGGATTTCGTAAATCCCAAGACAGAATTAAACTCTTTCTTGACTTCCGTGGCTCCCTAAGTATATTTTCATTGCAGTGCATAACACATGTATTACATTTGCTTACACCTCTAAGCAGTAAGCGTCTTGCGCTTAGCTCAGAATGTAACATACAGATATAGACAGTAAGCATTTGTAATCCTCAACTGAATTTCAAATGTTGAGCCTCTGTTACTCCTCACAGGTTTTTTATAGGCAAGAGGGTCACAGCAACAGTCAAGTCATTGAAACGCAGAAACCTCAAGCAGTAGTACCACTCCCCGATGCTGGAGTCTATATTATTGAAGTCCGAGCATACAGCGAAGGAGGGGATGGAACAGCTAGTTCCCAAATCAGGGTACCATCGTATTCAGGTAAGTTTTAATCTAACAGGCTTAATATGGTGGCCACCTGCAATGCAAGATGATGAAACCTCATCAAAACCAAATGATGGATTGCACAGTTCAGATATTTTTTGGAGGGGTTTCTCTTCTTTGATTTCCAACTCCTCCTACAATCTGTATGAACCATGGTAATTTGCTCACAATTGCAGAATTTCTACAAATCTAGAAAGAAGTTGATACTTTTATTAGAATGTACTTATTTACGAGAATTCTTTTCAATCCTGGTCTCAAGTAGTACCTTGCTGGCCAAATTGGCTTTTGAAATATTGCTTTTAAAGTAATATTGTCCCCATTTGATGTACCTACTTCTCTATTATCTTGATTGTTCTTGTTGTTAGATTATTTTAAAAGTATTCCCTTTAAACTTTAAAATTTGATATTTGACATATAAACAAATTGTATTACTGAACCCCATAGTTATTATAAGCACTATTAATTTCTTGTTTTCTGAGCCTTTACTATATAACAGGCACAAAAAAATTATACACACATCATTCAATCTTAGTAACAATCACATGAGATAGATTTTCTCTGTAAACCAGGAAAAATGCCACGTGAGTAACTTGCCCATGATCACATTATTGCTGAACCATAATTCAAATCTAGGTAGTTTATCTCCAAGGATACCCGAATATCTACCATCATAATCATTATTGTCTCAGTATGACAAAACTAAAGGAAGGGAGATTTTATAAAATTAGAAGAAACCATTTTGTCAAAGTAGCCAAAAAAAGATTTAATTAGATATGCAAATCCCTGAGAAAGTATTGGGCAATTTTTCATTAAAACCTTGTATTAAATGGTGTTCACTTAATGGTTAATTATGAGTATTATTTGTTGAGAAATCATTCCCACACAGAATGATCAACAGAAAAGGAAGTTTCTGATGATATCTTCTAAGGCTCTGTGTGTATGGCACTATTTAATACATTAACCAACTTGAAATCAGATAAGAGGTATTGCTTATGTTATTTTTTGATGTCACAGAATGAATGGATGGCAAATAAAATGGAGAAATGAATGATACCAGACTCTGAGGAAAACATAATAAACTCCAAATTTCTGCATTAAAAATACAAAATGAGATAAAGGACATTATTGGGACAATTGATAAAATTTGATTATCTGTATATTAGAAAAGATTACAGCAACATCAATTTGTAGAAATCACGCTTTTGTGATATGAGAAATCGTCTTATTCTTTAGAAACAGACATTGAAGTACTTAGGGGATAGGTTATATCATTTCTATATTTAAAAATGAGAAAAAATGTGTTTTAAAAGACAATTAAACATGAAGATAACATTAACAATAAAGGAATTTAGGTGAATTCTTTGTTATATTTTAACTTTTCACCGAAAAACTGTAATACAAGATGTAGGAAACTGACATTTTCAGGAATACAAGTCGAATTTAAATATATTGTGGTCATACAAAAATTTAATACACTCTATGATTCCTTTATAAATGTGCAGTTTCAACAGCAAGAATGGTAATAATGTCTGTGTGCTGATTAATTCACAATTGAACTGTTCAGGTGAGGGTGCCGAATTTTCAAGAGCACCTTGAAAGGCAAAAGATATTTTTCATGTTTTTTAAAAAAATAACTCTTCTTCATTCAGAAGTGTCAAATTTCTAATGACACAATGAGCATTTATTAAGACCTCAAAATGGTTCTTGGAACCATGTTACATGTTTTCCATACATTACTTTATCCTTCCAATTAGGAATTATATTACTCTATGATTCTAGAAAGTTCCTTTTAATTCTAATGCAATCAGATTCAATAGCATCCTCTGAATAAGTTCAGTCCCAAGCTTGGAGTATTTATAAAAGACCTTAATTCTCACATTTATTTTAATTATTACTTCTATTCTATGGGGGGAAATGGCAACTTTAATGGTTTAGTTAATAACATCTTGGCCAGTGTAATCCATTTTCTGAGTTTCAATAATATGAAATCTCTTAGTTTTATCTACTATAGACTCATAAAACCCAAGCAATGATTGTTTTTTTCTTCTTATATTCCAAAAAAAATCAAATGCCTAAGAAATTGAATGACTTGTCCAAGTGAAATAGTTTTTACAGCTCAGGCTAGAACTTAATCCAATGTTGCTGATGCTGTGTGTGGAGAGGGTTTTGTTTTTTTTTTCTCCCCACCCCATTTGTATTGTTTTCCCTACTAAAATGATGACTTTGTGGATGTCACTTAGAATTTGAGGTATAGACTCTACTTACCATTCTGAAAGTGAGACGCTTTTATAAAAATGTCATGTAAGTTAGTTTAACAATAAGACAGTCACTTTGAAATATATAGAAAAGAAATTTTTTTCATTTTCTATTTATTTGCATATACATAGAACTCCAGTAAGGCTTTGTCATCTCCCTTTACAGTTCACATATGACTGTGAATTTCATGATAAACTCCTATTGTACAAGTAGAACTATATCTAACATTCTCCAACATGTTGATTAATAAGTTTTATTATTGCATTAGTTATACAAATTTTCAAAGAAAGAGTTGCCAATTTTGCGTGTCTTTTACCAATTTTTTTTTACCTCTTAAGTAGAGACAGGCATATGAAAAATAAATTTAGACTAACAAAAATCACCATTATAATTCCATTACATTCAATCCAGTCAGAGGAGAGAACTTGACAGTAGAGTCCAAAAACTAGGTGGAATATTTTATCCTTATTCTTAAGGTTATAACCAACACTGTTTTAAGATAGACAAAACATTAAAGCATCACAGATGTACTAATTCCTAGCTCAGGAACTTTAAGCAAGTTCTATCCTTTTTCTAAATACCAATTCTCTCAAGTTCAACAGGAAGATAAAGATGCACAATAGTTTTTACTGAAGTTGGTTGTTGTGAGAATCAAATAATATAATATTTATAAAGGGCTTAATACAGTGCTTGTGATATAGTGAGTATTCATTACATGTTGATCATAATGATATTTTAGAAGTCTTCTGGCTTAAAATACCATTCCTGAAGGTAGCATTAAAAATCATTCTTAATCTGTGGCCATGTGGAGCTATTGGAACTACTTCAGACTAATCAACTCAGATCAGTTCATTTAATGCAATTAAATGCATGTAACGCTTTGGTCTCAAAAAGAAATATCTCCTGAGTGTAAGAAAGAAAGATGAAAAAAACAAACCTTTACCAAGTTTGGCATGAGAATGTAGAATTTAAGCCCAATCAATTGAAATAATCAAAGACCCATAAATAAATGTCATTAAATTTTAAAAATTATCAGAAGTAATTAAATTATGAGTTCATGTTGCTTCACACTTTTGCTAATTATTTTTGCTCCATTTCCTGAAGTATGTTCTACAAAAATTACTTTTCATTCCCTATCAGGAACCTGGGATGTTTTCCATCAGCACATCATTAATGGAGATTACACTAAATCTCCTGGTTTGATGCGTTTGTTAGCATGACTTAGATTTTTCAATAGAGTGTTGCATAAATGTTTCTGTTTTCCTTGCAACTTAGAAAATAAGACATGGTCTGAGGTTCCCAAAGTATGAAGAACACTCACTACCAGCAGCTCAGGATGCTGAGGCAGGAGGATCATAAGTTCAAAGCCAGCCTCAGCAAAAGCAAGGCATTAAACAACTCAGTAAGAGCCTGTCTAAATGAAATATATATAAAAAAAATGGGGTGTAGCTCAGTGGTTCAGTGCCCCCAAGTTCAATCCCCAGTACCCCTGCAAAAAAAAAATAAAAACACTCATTAAAGGGACAGATAATATACTCTTGTCCTAGATTCTAAGAACACTTGCCTTGTCCAAATAAGACTACAAAAATTGGCTTCATCTGATGCTTCTTTTTTCACAGGTGGGAAAATCACAAGCGCTCAGCCAACCCTGCATACACTCTCCACATCATCATCAGTAACGTTGCTCTTGGCATTGATGATTCCTTCAACTTCCTGGTGAAAGCTGCCAACTTAATTTGATTTTCTTTGCTTTAGCTTGAGAGCAGCAGTGAATAGAGTGTAGTTAATTGGAGACCCAGGACCCTGAGATAAGCTTTAAAACTTGGGACTACACATGGTGCACTTACAGAAGGTCGGGAGGAAAATATTACTTATCCATCAGGTTTCTCTTTGGTTTTTGTAAATGGAAAGGACAGTTCTTGGTCCAATAAAAATATGCAGATTGTATGTAATGAATTTTTGTAAGCAAAGGTAATTTCTGTCGAATGTATTCTGAATTTTTTTAATATGTTGGAATTTGATTTTATATCTGATGACTCTAAGTATGTGCCATCCATTTGTTAAGTGGTAACTAGCAGGTCTGTTTCAAAAACAAATACAAAACCAAGAATGAAAAGTTTGTTTAGAATCTGAGTCCAGTGTTTTTATTTTCTATTCAGCTAACTATTCCAATTGCCAAACCAGCAGGAGATATGAAAAATATTTCAGTTATGTGGCCCATTAAAGGATAAATACTCAAAATTTTTCTCAAAAACATATGGGTGCATAGGGAAATTGCAAGATTTATCAATACACTATTCTATATGCACTCCTAGAACCAGATAATAGGGTAGGGAATAAGCCATTAATATACGTGCAAGGTAAATATAAAGTAAGTCCAAATGAATTTATTGTTTTCCATCAAGTTCTATGTTATCTAGCAATGAAGAGTGTAAATGTTTATTTTTACTAATACAAAAGAGTTTAAAGTCACAAAAATATATGATAACTAAAAACTGAGACAATAATATGAAGCCACAGGCACTAACTTAAAAACATAACAAATAAGACAGAGCTTTTTAATTTCTCTACCTACTTTCAAAGCAAATTTGAATTAAATCCAATGCTTTCTTGTAACTACAAATAATTTTAAGGACAATAAAAATTTGTTGTGGAAATAATTATACAGACATATTGTCTGTGGATTAAAATGATTCAAGTACAGCAAATAAATACTTTTCAGACAGTTCCATGCCATTTATAAAATCTTACCAACTACTAAAATAAAGAAGAGCTGTTGGATAAGTTGATTTTTAGAAAATTAATCTGTGGGAACATAGAATCATCATAGGGACTCTGCTATTTCTTCCAGACACATACTGCTTGATTTTCTAGCTTGGGAGGTGATTACGACTTGCTATTTTGAAAAGTCAAATTGAACCTAAGTTATTCTAGATAGTTATTGGAAAGCTAGGTGAAAGTTTTCTACTTGATGAATCATGAATTTCTAGAAAATATGAGGATGTGCCAGAGTTGACATTACACCCAAGAATAGGTCTGAAAAGATTCATTGCAACCTCATTTGCCAGAAAAGAGCCTAGAGAAACTAGTCTTACAGGTGATGCTGACATGAGAACAAAAAGCAGTTTCCCTTTATTTTCCTTTATATAATCTAAACCTATCAACTCTATTTGCATCTTTACCAACTAAGCATAACAATATTAAGTTTAAGTTGCTGGTTAACCATTGAAGTATCAGAGGAAAGATTAGGGATTCCTTTTTTTTGGAGGGGGGGGGGCGTTACTAGGAATCGAACTCAGAGGCACTCGACCACCGAGCTACATCTCCAGTCCTACGTTATATTTTATTTGGAGACAGGGTCTCACTGAGTTGCTTAGCGCCTCACCATTGCTGAGGCTGGCTTTGAACTTCCAATCCTCCCATTTTAGACTCTCCAACCGCTGAGATTATAGGCATTCACCATAACATCTGGCAAGATTAGGAATTCTGTTCTGAACAGCCTAAAGATTAGTTTTAGAGAGATAACTATATATTTCAATTACTTGTTGTATTTGGAGAAGATTACGTTCAAGACACTCCTGAACAAACACAAAGTAATTTAAAATACTGTTTTAGTCAGAAGATTATAATAAACACTACAGATGGTGAATATGTTAGCCTTTAAATAACAACAATGAAGTGGCCTTTCTCGACTGACTCCTTTGAAGTGGGAGAGGCTCAACTTTGCAAATAGAGGGATGCTAACTCTCCTAAGTATGATGTAATTTATGAAAACTAATTGTACAGGTGAAAAAAAATGAAGGATATTTAAAAGTTGGAAATAATTGTTACATATTTGATGAACCAAAAAGCATTTTCTTCCTTTTCTATAATATTCTATACTAAGTTCAGTGAAGGATTTCAAGAATGAAGATATACTAACATTTTTATAAAGCAAAACCCAATAAATATGTTGATGTATGACAACTTAAAATTAACCAGTATCTCCAGGCACAATGATACATGCCTGAAATCCCAGTGACCTGAGAGGTTGAGGCAGGAGGATGGTACATTCGAGGCGGCCTCAACAATTTAGTGAGGCCCTAAGCAACTTAGAGAGACCCTGTATCAAAATTTAAAAATAAAAATAAAATCTGTATCAAAATTTAAAAACAAGAATAAAAGCTGGGGATATAGATCAGCAGCAAAACACTCCCGAGTTCCATCTCCAGTACCAAATTAAAACCGATTAATATTTCCAAATAGCTGATGGATGGTACATATCTGCCAGAATATTTACGCATAGAATGTCAATGTTGTATTCTTACAGGAATCAGATATGGGATGTTTTTACTCAACATTCACAAAATATGTATTTTGCCTCATAAATCTATTTAAAAAACAGGATTTCAATGTTTATGTATTATGTATTACATATTTGTTACTTTGTAGAATGCAGACAGCATTCCGTATCAAGGTACATTATTTTTCAGCTACAGTACTAAGTGAGCTTTTTCCTGGATGGGATAGTAACCACAGTCTTAAATCACTAAAGAGACTGTATTTTTGTATAATGTCAATTGAACTATGAAGAAAACAACACTCCTGATAATTAAAAATTTCATGAAAGCAACTGTTTTACACACCCAACTAAAGGTACTGTGGACTCCATGTCAAACCGTTAAATATACTGTATACAATCTGTATATATACTATATATAATGGTATATAACATGTGGAAGGCACAGTCAGATAATAGTTCTGTGTACTGTTCTTGTAACATTAGATCTTTTTAATAAATAATTCTGTTTTTATTGACTTTTATTTTCTCTCCTGTCAACTCTATGACTAGCTTCAAGCAGAGTGCAGAATGCTCCTGGTTACTGCAGAGTTTTCACATTGAACATATCATTGTGAGGATTCTCCATGCTGTTGTGACTTTAGGTTGAAAAAACTCACCATAAGATGTCCATGGTAGCTAAAGCTTGAAAATTTGAATTTATGGCAATGAATAAAATAAGCAAAAAAACAAGTACAGATAGGATAAGTTCACAGGGTTTAACTCATAATTTCTTTCTTTTCAGGAAAGGAGTCTTCATAAAATCAGTTTTGCAGACAAATTTTTTTTAAAAAAAAATGTATACGTCTGCTTTTTTATATTAGGAACAATCAATTCCATTCTTTATCAGGTACCATTTTAATTGACAGAGTTACCCACTCTATTGTCTCCCCTTAGTAGTACCATACATACATTTCTATTATTCCAGCAATCACATAAAAATTATTTGTTTATGAATATTTTCCTGTACTATCCAGGCTCTAGGATCATACAGGGGAGACAATGTTGTCACCTTGGAATCTCTCTCACCAAACTGAGGTGAGCACCCTACTCAACCTGAAGGCCCACATCTGAGTTCTCACTCAGTAGGTCAGACATTAGGGAGCTTTAATTTTAAAAAATTTTTCCAATTGAAAAAATGATACAACTCTACTAAAGGGACTTTGACTATCTGATAAGGTGTTTTACGGATATACTCTTTGACAGAATTGTCCCACACCCAGTAATCTACCCATAAGATAGACTAGCAAAAATGTGCCAATGAATAGCTAAAATAAGCAAATAAATAAGGTGGAGGAGAATGAATATGCCCCCTTTTGTGTAAGAAGTAGAAAAAATACAAACATTCACATTGGGTAATGTTCTCAAGAACAAATAATGGAAGAATAACCTGAAGACTTGGTGACTCATTGAGAAATAAGATGAGACATGGGAACAAATAGCAACCAAGCATTCTCTCAGTGTACTTATTTCACATTTTGTCCTTAGACCTATATAACTGCTTTATGTTAGTGCAAAAAAAATATATATAAAAAAAAAAGCTTAGGAAAAAACTAAGCAACCTCCAAAAGTTTTTATTTTTTTATTTTTTTTTTCCTCAGCAAAAGAAATAGTCTGTGAGGTGAACAGGGAGCCTACATCCTGGGAACAATTTTTACCCCTCACACATCAGATAGAGCTCTAATCTCTAGGATATATAAAGATCTCAACAAGATAAGCACCCAAAAAAACAAATAATCCAATCAATAAATGGGCCAAGGACCTGAAAAGACACTTCTCAAAAGAGGATACACAATCAATCAACCAATATATGCAAAAATGCTCATCATCTCTAGCAATCAAAGAAACGAATATCAAAATACTCTAAGATACCATCTCACTTTAGTCAGAATGGCAGCTATTATGAAGACAACAAGTATTGGTGAGGATGTGGGGAAAAAGGTACACTCATACACTGCTGGTGGGACTGCAAACTAGTGTAGCCAATTTGGAAAGTAGTATGGAGATTCCTTTGACAGCTGGGAATGGAATCACCATTTGACTCAGCTATCCCTCTCCTTGGATTATACACAAAGAACCTAAAAACAGCATATTATAGGGACACGGCCACATCAATGTTTATAGCAGCACAATTCACGATAGCTAAACTAAACTGTGAAGCCAACCTAGATGTCCTTCAGTGGATGAATGGATAAAC